ATCTAATAATTAAATGAGAGGTCAAATAAATTAAAAGTAACAGTTTTCGGAAGAAAAAAATTATATTGCCACATAGGTATAATTTAATAGGTTTTATTAAATGCTTATGAGCCAACAATTATATATATATCTTATGTGTTGAATTCTAGTGATTACGTGTTCGGATTAGAGTACTACAAGTAGATCTGAACTTTTATCCATGTCAATGAAGACTTTTAAAATTACAAAAGACATGAAACGCTTAATCTATGAATATAATTTAAAAAATAATAACTTCTGTTATTTTAATCAAAATTCATATGTGATATATCAAATAATGGTATTATAAGGAGCCCCGATTTGACATCTATATTGAATATAGAATTAAATATGTGTATTTATCTTTATAGTAAAAATGAAAGTACATATCACTATTATGAAAAATAATAAAATTGTTTATCAATTAAATAAACTTATCTATAAAATTATTATATAGTATGACTTAACAAGTTATTACATAATAAAACATATAAAATAATTAGAATACTATCAAGTGATAAGTTTGTTTTTAAAAATAAAAATAATAATCTACGTTTGTAAGAATGATTTAAAACAACTTTATATATATTTATATATATATATATATATTAATTTAGTTATGATTTTTTTTGTTAGCACCATATATAGACGGGTGTGATTTGAAGTAGCCCATGTAGATCAATACCCGTTACATTTTCTAAAATTATAAAACATTTAACTTCGATTATAAATATTTTTAAAAAGTTAATAACTTTTGAATTTGTTATCGAATTTTTGTATGTAATATACCAAATTCACTATCTTCTGACGAGTTTCAATTTGATATTCATATCGCATATATAAAATAAATAAATAAATAAATTTATTTTTAAATATAAATTAAGTATTCTACTAATACTAATTAATAGCTAAAAAACTATATACCAATTTAAGAAGTCGTCTATAAACTCATTACATATGATTAGAAAAGTTATTATAATATATGACAGACAAATCGTACAAATAAAAAATCTCATTTTAAATATAAATAATTATGCAATTTTGTAAAATTGTTTGAAATTTAAATTAAAAAATCTATGTTAAGAATTTCGATATAAATCTTTTAACCAGTACATGTGCAATCACAAATGTTGTAATTGATAATTTATATACAGAGACCAAAGTATCTATACACAAATATACTGAACCCTCCCCTCCTTTGTGATCATGGCTTAGGGCGACGACGGCTATTCTGCCTTGCCCCTTCTTTTGAAGTCAAGGGGTTAGGACTGGTAGCGGCGATAACGACTTTCTTCGACGAGGCGGGTTGAGACTGTAATTTTGACTTTCGCTCTCTTTCCTGTCTAGAGTTCGATTTTGGGGGCTCAGATCTGGAGACCTCAAATCTGTAGTTCTCTTTTATCGTTCTTTGAATTCGAAGACTAGTATGTGTGTTGGTTGAGTTGCGGGGCAGCAAGGATAGGGTCGCTAGAAGTACGGGATGTTGTATTTTATTTATGGAGAATGCTACCATCCCATTACGGGATGGTTCCGTTGTGTTTTCTAGCCATAGATATACATGTATTCTAGTGATGGGTAGTTAATCCAACGCTTAAAAACATAACGGAACCATCCCGTAACGGGATGGTAGCATTCTCCTTTATTTATTTAATTTTTTTAGGTGTTTTGACATTTTCTTTTTTTCTTTTTTTTGTTTTGTTTTTT